GGGTGAGTTAAACGTGAAAAATGAAAAAAATTAAACTAAAAATTTGAAAATTTCCTAAGTTTTTCTGGGCTCCAACCTACCATAACCCGTGCATAGATCTTCTCTGTAAAATCTACACTAACGGGTACCCTACATGATGTGGCTCTATGGACATAGTGCATATGTCTTGCTTTCAGCTTTACGTGCAGTTTGGTTCAACCTTTTAATTACATCAAATGACTATCACTCTTTTTGAAAAAAAAAAGTGTACAAAATTTGGGATATGGTATTTGGCATTATTATTAAGACAAAAAGAGATTATACTCCCTCTGTCCCTGAAAATTGTTCCTTGTTTCCTTTTTGGGCCGTCCCAAAAAATTGTTCCCCTTTCCCCTTTTGGAAAGTTTTTTGTGGCTACAATTCATTTACTTTTTTCCTACTCAAACACAGCCATACATTTCCACTTTATTCCACTTTCTTAAACTCTGTTCCAAGTCAATGCGGGAACAATTTTCCGGGACGGAGGGAGTATGAAAGATATTGAACTTGTTATCTCAAAAAAGTGGAATCGCCCGATGCCCCCACGGCCCACATCCAAAAAGGGTGTAATGATATTGAATTCATCAAAGTAAGAATGGTTGTTAGCCACAAAACATGGCCAAATTTCATATGACACAAATATTTCTAGACACGCTAAAGATGAAAAATGAATGGTACCATGATTTTGTTGTTGCGATCACTGCAGTTACGAATATTGCGCCCGCTGCGATGCGTATTGATATGGCGTGAAGTAATTTTATGTTTACATTAAACCAAAAATCAAAGTTGATTTTGCATTCTTGATGTGATTGCGTTGCGGGTACAATGCGATTCTTGACTGTGAATAAAATAACAACGCAGATACGTTGTGATCAGACCATATCCTATCAAACTTCGATTGATATTGGTAAAATACACACATAACACTATAATACTAGATTATACTCCCTCCGTCACTAAATAAACTTTCAACTTTCCTTTTTCGTCCGTCCCAATTAAAACTTCCACTTTTCTTTTTTGGCCAGAATTTGTGGTTCACAGCAATTATTACACATTTCTCTCTCCTCTGCACAACTCTCCACCACACAATATACACTATCTTAAACTGTGTGTCAAACCTATTTGGAAGATATAATAGAGACGGAGGGAGTACATTTAAATAGATCCGAATAGATCATATCAATCCGAATCAATCCACACCATATCATATTCCAAAATTACAATACAATTAAAACATTCTTAAGTTGAGTGTGGCACAATAATAATGGATTTAGAACGACACGGATGAAGTAATGTGTGTACACAAACTTAAAGAACTCCGGATAAGAAAATATTTTCCAGAATATTTTGCGCCTAACACACAATTCACAGGAAAGTAATTTTAATTCAGAAAACGTTTTTTTTTTTGCAACATTTTAATTGAGAAATCATTTAAAAAAATAGGTTGTTTTCAGGGGAAACAATTCAAGCCTAAAAATGGCAAGAAATATGTAGGTTACATTTAAAAGAACAATATGCGATCGTATGAATTATTGTCAAACCCACCATCCTAAAATAACTACCCAGTACGTAAGAAAGAATAACCTGCAAAAAAAAAAAAAAGCTAAAAGTAAAAAAACTTAACTGTCCCACTCTCTATAATCGTTCCTTCTAGTCTTCCATTTTCAGTTCATGGGCTAGCTCATCACCATCACAGCCATGTTCGATTTACTCTTTGGCTGGAGAAAAGCTTCTAAATGGTAATTCAATTCATTATTATGTCCACGAACTTGTTCTCAATCTTCCTTTATATATGCAGAGTATATTTTACTTTATATTCTCTAAACTACAAGTTAAAATCATCATTTTATTTTATTACTTCCTCTGTTCCATATTAATTGCAACAGTCAACATTTCACGTTTGCCAATGCGTAGATTTGACCATTAATATCTCTCATTCCTTATTAGTAAAAAAAATTAAAAAAATCATATTTTGAAAATTTAGAATGAGAAAAATTTAACAATATTTTAAAAAAAATTAATTTATAATACATTAATTAATAAAATATAGTCAAAGTAAAATATGTGAATAGTGCAAAAAGTCCAATGTTGCAACTAAAAGAGAACGGAGGTAGTATTTAACTTTTTACCGTTCTTGGTTTAATGGGGTGCGATTTTTACAGCAAGAAATTGATTGGAAGGGTTCAGTGCCGGCTGAAGCTGCTCAAGAACAAGAGAAGTTGCATTGCAAGGCACTTAAGGGAGGATTTGTGTGAGCTTCTCCGAAATGGTCATCATCCTCTTGTCTTTGATAGGGTATGCACATTTTCTTATTCTTAAATGATAAAAAAAATAATAAGATTCTTATTATTATTACTATTATTGTTATTATTGCTGAAGTAGTTGAATTATATTGCATTATTTTAGGTTGAACACCTGTTTATGGATGAAAATCTGGTGGCAGCATATGATATGTTGGAGAGTTATTGTGAATTTCTCCTCATTAATCTTACCTACATCCGAAAGTACAAGTGAGCATTTCTTTATTTTCTTATACCAACTATGTTTCACAATTGAGTTTATGTTTTGACTCTTTTATGGCCAAGTTCTCTTAACTTTGACGAAATTTGAACACATTTTGTGTACACACTCCTAGTTTCTCGTGTTTACAGACAGCTCCTGAACGAGCAATTAGGGGTGTGTACATAAAATGTGTACAAATTTCGTGTATAAATAATTTTTTCCTTTCTTATACCAACTCTGAATTGAATTTAGGTTTTGACTCTTTTATGGCCAAGTTTTGTTAACTTTGACTTTTAAGGATTTAAAATGTCAATCTTTATGGAGAAAATTTTCGTTAATAACATGCTTTAATGTTAGGTATTTATGATTGAAATGTTAAATTATTCGAAATTATATGTTTATGGAGTTGTACTAATCATCAAATGATAGCATTTAAGGTGGTGAAAGTCAAATTGTGAATTAGACTCTATTCATATTTATGATTGAAATGTTAACTTGTTATAAATTTTAAACGCATGTAATTTTATATAGTGAATTAGTGATGTTCAAATGTTAGTATTTAGGACTGTGAAAGTCAAATTGTGAAATTGACTCTACACGTATTGTATGTAAAAAATTATTGACACCAAATAAATTGCCCAACACTTGATGTACTTAAACAAAAAAAAGATGTGCTTAAACTAATTGTAACATTGTGTCTTAGAATTTTTTGTTGTTACAGAGACTGTCCAAATGACATTAATGAAGCAGTTTCAACTCTCATATACGCGTCAGCAAGATTGGGAGACCTACCGGAGCTTCTATCAATTAGGAAGCTCTTTGCACAACGTTATGGTCAGAGATTTGCAAGGGTGGCTCTTGAGCTTCTCCCCGGCAATCTCGTCAATACTCAGGTTTAATTCATGTTTCAATCTTTCGGCGATTCAGTAACATTCTTATTGTGAGTTTGCACAACGTTAAAGAACGGAGGATAGTATATAATAATTAATCATGCACACAACACAATGAAATACTACGTAATAAATTCAACATTTCTGAAATTACACTTCTTATTGAAATGGTTGACCATGAATTGAACATAAAGTTGTCAAGCTAGCCAAATTATGTAAAGGTATTGTGTACTAAATACTTTTGTTTCATTTGACGATTCAAAGTTATTTTTACACAATATTAGATGTATGATTAATCATAACACAGACTATTTTGATGCACATTTAAATGACATGAACTAATGCATATCACTGACATTACACAAACGGATTTAGTGCATTAAACTCATATCACTAGTTAGTCATATTTTTGGAATCACCACATGTCCACGGCATTTGCCATATTAGTAGCAATTTTCTATGATTTAGGGTCACTACATTACAGAAGTTGCATTTTTATCTACGGAGTATTAATTTAACTGACTATTGTTCTCTTTCGTACAAAACTACAAAAACAGATTAAGGAGTGCCTATCCACCAAGTGTGTAACGGATGAAGTGAAGTGTAGGCTAGTGGAAGAAATATCTCGAAGTTGCTTTCAACAAGGGCCCTTGCTGTTGGGTTACACTTCGGAATGGCAAAAGCAGGTTAGATAAGCCACGTTATGACACATACTCCGTATGTTATCACTTAAACGTAGTAACTTATAATGATTAATTTTGTGTCGATATGATCGTATGATTGATTAGTTTGACTATTAAGTGTGTTTGAAATTGATTCTGATTGTTTTTTAAAAATAGAAACATAATCGAAATCAGTTTTTCATAAGATCCCAATTTCTAAAAAATTGCTAGTACTTCTATACTTCGTTCATATAGTCAAAACTCAAAAGTACTTTTACACTTTTATCCAAACATTTCACTATCCGCTTCTACTTTTTGAAGAAGCGAAAACAGTTTTAAGAGGTAGATCCAAACACCCATAAATTACCACATTTAGAATATATTTTATTAGTCAAGTGAAGAAATTAGTACGTAGTACTAGATAGATACTCCCTCCGTCCCGGGGAGAAGTTCCCAATTTCCTTATTTGGATGTCCCAAAAGAAACTTCTCATTTCCCTAAATGGAAAGTTATTCTACATTAAAACAGTGCCAAACAGTGCAAAACAGTGCCAAACAGTGTCGAAACAGTGCCAAACAGTGTCGAAACAGTGCAAAACAGTAAAATTTACCCCTCAGTAACTTTATTTCCTAAAAATGTGTGAAAGTCAACCCGGGAACTTCTCCCCGGGACGGAGGGAGTAAAAAATGAAATAAGCATCTTCTCCAAATTCCGCGGTAAAAGTATCTTCACTTTAATTGATTATGGCTGATACGATTGAATAGATAAGCTCTAGTTAATTATGAAGTAATTGTATATCAAATACGTGGTAATTTAAAAGTTAGTAATTTAAAAGTTAGTTGAAAGAAGGTGAAGATAAATGATGGATGGTTGGAATCCAAACATATAATTTAGAAATACAAGAACATCTTCAATGCTTCACTTATGTGGCACGAGAGATAACACATAAATATTATGAAGTATCAAATAAATTATCTTTTTCCTTATTTGAATGATTTTATACGATTTTGGTAAGTTTTTCTCGACAATGTCAAGAAGACCGTCTAAATGTTGACATTGTTAACTCTACGATTTCTTAAGTTTCATTGTTGTTTGATACGGAGTAATATTTTTGTGGCTATCTCTCATGCCACATGTGCACCGTGCACATTGTAGCATTGAATATGCTCTGATGAGCTAAAAAAGAGAAGAAGTGTGTTATGTCTAGTGTATTATTTAGAGTTTGTGTATGAATGTGTTCAAGAGTTTACAAGTTATTTATAGAAAAATGTAGGTTGGGTTGCTGATATGGGTCCATAGACCCGATTAGGCCACTACACAAAAGGGTTAATCTCTGTCTTGCTTTAAAACAAGGCACGGTGCTTGACTTTTGTGAATCTTCGAATCAAAATTGAACGATCTCAGTCTTGCAGATCTTGAGATTCACATCTCAAAGTGTCATTTTTTCATCAAATGATCCCTCTGACGAACAGTAGAAGATCTCGATCCGGATTAATCTAATAGATCAAATGAATAAATTAACCTCTACATTATTGTTTCTACTTTAAAAATGAGTTTTTAAATGGCAGGAAAAGAGAGCAAATGAGAAACCTCAAATCTTCAAAAGTAGTGCTGAAGATTTTGACGAAAAAGATGAGCAAAGTAAGTGGTGCAGGGCTAGTTTGGGGAAGATGAACCAGGAAATGGTTGATGAAATTGCTGAATTCGAGTCCAATAATGGCACCATTGATCAAAGACTCTTCTTGTTCAAATCGCCTTGCCTTCTCACCTTCATAGTTTACAACAAATGTACTGTTGATGAAAAAGAAGAAGAAAAGAAATTCATTTCAAAGGCTGCTGCTTTATCAATAAGTGAAGATCAAAAGGAGATCAAATGTGGAGAAAATGGGAAGAGGAAACAAAATGGGCCGCCACCGCCGCCGTATTTGAGGGCGGCCGGAGTTTCTATGCCGCCCGAAAGGCCCAATGAAGAGAGCCTACTGGATAGCATCGCCCGGTCCATTTCATTCCCGGACCATGTCCATCCTAAGCTTCCCGATTACGATGAAATATCAGCCAAATTCATGGCTCTCAAGAGAGAGAAAATCCAAAATATATAAATTCGTGCTTGTAATTATTAGATCATTTTCATTTTTGTGTCTGCAATTTTATTTTTTTTGGCTCTCAGACTATTATTCTTAACCATTTTTTTATTTGTTTGTTAATTGATTTTTATGTCCAATCATCATTTTGATATTGCGGGTTATTATACAAGTTCAGGAATTTGTAGTTTATCCGTAAACCTATTGTAATTTGGATTGTATATTTGTATGTGATATAGGATCAATTAATCTCAACATGCATGATGTATGAGCTCGTGGGGGCCAAGTGGCCAACCCATCCCGATTGCCAAAAAGCCTAGCTCAGCCCATAAGGGTCATGGGTCGGTTTGGCCCACTTTTTAAGAGGTGGGCAAGGGACTAAGCATTTAAAACCAGGCCCGACCCATTGATCCGGCCCGTCAAAAGCTATCCCCGCTCGGCCTTGTTAGCTCACCTGAGCCCAACCTAGAAGCCCTTTACCTAGTACTTATTAATTTTATATACCGATTTTATAATTTGTAGCATATATAAAAGTATTGACTAATAAAAATTGATTCACTAATTTGCTTAAAAGATTGGACATTGTCAAGAACTAATAGAGCATCTCCAATGCTACAACGTGCACGGTGCACATGTGGCATGAGAGAGATAGACACAAAAGATTGATTTTAAGACATTTCTCTCTCCGTCTTTCTACGGTCTTTTGTGTTTTTGGTAAGTTTTTCTCTGCAATGTCAATCACAGTGTCTACATCTAGACGTTGTGCTTGACATTGTGAAGAAAAACTTACCAAAATGATATAAATCCTTCAAATAAGGAAAGAGATATTTTATTTATTGTTTTTTGATTGGCTATCTATCATGCCACGTATGCATCGTTAACGTTTTAACATTGGAGATGCTCTAAGATGCAAGAAAAGGCAATTTTTGATCAAGAAGGCAATATGATATAGGCCCGGTCTTGGACCTGTGCTCAGCCCTATGTATTATTATTGCATCAAGACTGGATTGAAAGACTACGACTCATACAGTCGAGATTGAACATCTCTATTTCAAGAGTACTACCAAAAATTTAAAAATAGATCATTTTGAACTATAATTTTATTATTACATTATTTGGAATAAAAATTCTATTTTACTAATTTAAATAATTACATTTTATTTTGAGAAAAGAAACAAATATACCCCTGTAGTATGAGTGTGAGAACAACTATATCTGTTCTATTTTTTGAAATAAATATAACCTTGAAGTTTATGCGGAAGTGCATATATACCGCTCAACTATTAAAATGGGAAAAAATACCCTTCGTCTTCCTATAAATGAGCAAATTTACCCTAATTGACTTTAAACAAATGAAATAAATCTAAAAAAACACCAAAAACAAATTATAAATTTGAAATCGAAAAGAAAAATTCAAGATTTAAAAATAAAGACTTACCTATATGTTAAAATATTAACTCTTTAATTTTAAATTGCAAAAATATTATATCCTGTTGTGACATAAAATAATAAAAGGGAGATTTGACACAAGTAGATTTTAATTTTTATACTTCCTCCGTCCCAATTTGTTTTGCAAAGTCAAAAATTTTCGGTCAACCAATAATAAAAGTCAACCCTCTCTATGAATACTCAATTCAATTTTTAATAATTAAAATTTACATATTCAAAAACAACATTAAAATATCTTCAAAGTTGTAAACTCTAAATTAGAATATAATTAAAAATTGGCATCCTAATTAAGTGAACAAAACGAGAATGTTTGACTAAGAAAATTCAAATTTGCAACTCTTTTTGGGACGGAGGTAGTAGTATTCTTCAACTTCAAATTTATAATTTATTTTTAGGATTTTTTTGAAATTTATTGTTTCTATTTAAAGTCGATTAATGTAACTTTGCTCCTTTATAGGAACATGAGGCGTATTTTTGCACCATTGTGATACATAAAAAAATTGAATTTTCTTGTAAGCGGCCCATTCCTATTAGTTACATGTGGGCCAGCCCGAGTTCATAGGCCATAGTATATAGACGGGTTAGGGCTGCATTTTGTTTACAAAAGCCCAGCCTAACCGGCCATTAATCAAATTATATATATTTAGCCCAACATGACCCAGCCCAAACTCATTACTTTTGGGTCGGTGTGGCCCAACCTAGCCCGTTGATGATCGCTATAGTAGGGCAATTGATAAAAAGTTCTTTATCAAATAAAGGATGAAAACTTTATTAATGGAAAATAAATACATATCTCATTTTTTTAGTTTAAAAAATGATTTAGTAAACACATTTTCCTGTTCTTTTCTCTCTAGTTTTTCATCGATTTTTTTCAATGAACACATTTTCATGTCTCCCTTTTCTTATTTTCCTCTTTTCTGAAAAACTGAAAAACTGAAAAATATCTCAATAAATAAACAACCTCTAAATGTCTAGTGTTTTTATCAAGAACGAACAAACTGATGGGTCCACTAAAATATTTGGACTTGGCCCGATGTAGTATTCGAAATAGGCCCATTGGTGTTATTAATTAATTGAATTAGAGCGGCGTCACTACAGAGATAACCAGGGCGTGAAGAACTAGGGCGGCGTTCAACACCACCGATGGTTAGACTTTCTTTTCATTCACGAACATTGTTGAATAAGTGTTTTTTTTTCTCTGAAATGATATCATTCTCTTGTTTTCTAACTAATGCCTTTCTATTTCGTACTTACTGTAATACTTTAGAAATTAGCTAGATAGTCTGGGGTTTTTCTTTTTCTTTAATATATATTAATTGGTAATAATATATTTTTTAATGCATGTTGCTTGATATTATATTTTGCTCTACATATATGTATTATGTGTGCATGTATATACAGGCAGAAAAAGATGTGAACCCTAAAGCTTATCCATTGGCCGGGGCAGAACTCACCATAGTTATACATGACTTGGTAGCACAAGCTGCCAACTATAAGCAGCTTAAGAAGGGTGCTAATGAAGGTTAGCTGTTATGTTTTTTAGTTTTACCATTTTATATCAATTTGACATTATTGTTTTTTAATCTGTAATCGTAATATGTTCTAATTCGTTTCAGCTACTAAGACACTAAACAGGGGAATTTCTGAGTTTATTGTGATGGCTGCTGATACTGAACCACTTGAAATTCTTCTTCACCTTCCACTTCTTGCTGAGGATAAGGTATTACCTCTCCCTCTCTTGCAGTTTAAAAGTTGAACTTTCTCACTCATCTTGTCTAGTTGTCTGTGTGACATAGTTGACATTGCCAACTTAAGGTTTTCTCAGGTGGCCTTCAGGTCTCAGCAATTCAGCATGGAGAGGAAACAATGTTTTCCCCTGTCTATAAATCACATTGAGCCTTTTCACCTATAATGAATCAAATATTCAATGCCTTTTTCATTTAGATCATTGACAATATCTAATGCTTTTTAGGCAATACCTTGCTTGTAAGCCGAGTATGTAACAATTAAGCTATACTTCTGCTGGCAATAGCTCTATTATTGCTGTCAGTAGCGCCTTGGCCTTGTTTTGCTTGGTACCAGAATGTTGGAATCTATCACATGAAACTTCTGGAAACCAAAAGCCATGTAAAATTTGGTTTTATTTTTATGCAATTAATTTTTATGATTTATTCATTTTATGAAGAACAAAAACATTCTTATTTACAGAAACCAGTAAAAAATTTGGATATAGACATTTGAATATATGAATATATCAAATAGAATGACATTTTTTTGTGAGGTTTTTGAGGAATAATGAATGGGATTACTGATATTTCTTACATACTGAGTCGTACATCCTGATATTTTTGAAATATTTGTATTTTTGCAATACTTTTTGGTGTTTAGAGATGCTATTCTGCTCACCCCTCTATATTGATAGCAGATCTCGAATTTGTAATTTAAAATGTTGGTGTTTAAATTATATATATTATATTATATTATATTATACTATACTATATTATATTATATTATATTATATTATATTATATTATATTATATTATATTATATTATATTATATTATATTATATTATATTATATTATATTATATTATATTATATTATATTATATTATATTATATTATATTATATTATATTATATTATATTATATTATATTATATTATATTATATTATATTATATTATATTATATTATATTATATTATATTATATTATATTATATTATATTATATTATATTATATTATATTATATTATATTATATTATATTATATTATATTATATTATATTATATTATATTATATTATATTATATTATATTATATTATATTATATTATATTATATTATATTATATTATATTACATCACATCACATCACATCACATCATGATATTGTCCTGTTGGTTGTATAAGAAAACAGGTAACACAGTTAGTGGTACTGTTTGATTGTAGAAGAAAAAAAGGAAATGGTTTTTATTAGCGTGGTTTCCTGTTTTCAAAAGCTCTGAAGCAAAACCTCCCGTGCCTAGTTGCTATAAACACAATTCTGTACACCGTATTGTGTCGGTATCCTTAATCTCCTAAAATGACCTGCTACTAGTTTTCTGTTTAATTGTGCTATTCCATATAATTCCTAGTCTCCTAAAGTCCTACAATACAAAAACAGTATTAATAATAGAATAATAGTATTGAATATGTTATGAGAGTAGCCTTCTTGCAGAATTTCTGAATGGGTTTCCAACGTTTTTGTTGCCCTAATCAGGCTTTTCTGCTTCTGTTTTTAGATTAATATTTCAAAATGCATCATTCCAATCTATTTTAACCTATTTTTTCTGTGCCATGCCCTCAGAATGTCCCCTATGTGTTTGTTAAATCCAAAGAAGCTCTTGGCCGAGCTTGTGGCGTTACTCGACCAGTGATTGCTTGTTCGGTTACAAGCAATGAGGGAAGCCAGTTGAAAGCTCAAATAACTGAACTTAAGGTATATCTAAAGCTGCAAACTGCTTGTCCAATTTCTGGTTTGCTCCGTGTTAACAAGTGACTAAATCATTTCTTTTTTATTTTTATTCTTGTGTGCTCAGAATGCCATTGAGAAGCTTCTCATATGAATGCCTAGTAACTTCAGCATGATGGGCCTCATGGATTGATTCTCAACAGAATTAGCTGAGGCTTTGACTGGACAAGTTGTTTATTCAACATTACTCTTGTGTGTTTGTTTGTTTATTTGTTTAATTTACTCCATGTTAAGAAAGATTGATAATCATGTAGTTTCTTCCTGAGTTCCTGTCATTCTGTATTTGTTTTCAACGGTTATTGTTATTGTTTTTTCTTTTATAATGTTCTGCATTTATTAACCAAAAAACATCCTTTGCCTTCCCTTTCTATTGATCTGAAAAATTGTGAGATTAAAGATTGATTTGGCTAATTTTATTGATATACTTCAACACTTGCTAGCGACATCAAGACGCATATTTTCGATGCAATTATGAACTTGTCACACCGACTCACACGCCAAAGATTTCCTTCACCTCTCTAAACTATTTGAACACAGCGTTTTGTGAATTTTTTCATAACAATGTTTTCAAATTTTACATAAATATAATCAAATGCCGAGGATGCCATAAATATTCGCACAGCAGTTCTGATTAGTGCTGGACTCGGGCCGGGCGGCCCGGCCCGGAACCGGCCCAGCCCGGTTACTGTGAGGCCCGGCCCGGCCCGGAGCCCGGTGGGCCCACCGGTTCGGTTCGGCCCGCCCCGGCTGCTGGGCGGTTCGGGCTCGGGCCGAGGTTTTGGCGAACCGGCCCGGCCGGTTCGGGCCCGGTTCGGTTCGATTTTTAATTTTTTTTTTTTTTTGAATTTTTTTTAAGTTTTGGGTTGGATTAGGTATTTTGGGCCACTTGAGGTGGTTTGGGGTAGTTTGGGGTTGAGGGGGAGGGGTTCGGGGTTAAATAGAAGAGCCAAAAAAAAAAAAATATTTCCGGGTAGGCCCGGCCCGGCCCGGCCCGGTTTGGCCCGGAACCGGAACCGGAACCGCCCACCGGCGGTTCGGGCCCGGGCCCAACTATCCTGGCCCGAGGCCCGGCCGGGCCCAGGCCTGAACCGGGCCCGAACCGGCCCGAGTCCACACCTAGTTCTGATTTCTGAGGTACTATGAGTCTATGACAAATTGGCAACCAAACATTGAAGTGAAAAGTTGAAGAATATCAAATTTGCATTTCCGAAAGGTTAACTTCAAAATTTTAACATGGATACCTTATTTTTGAATGAATGGCTTGGTTACTTACTAATTTACATTTTAAAAGAGCATAGAGTTGGGTTTTATTTGAAGAAGATGACGTTCATTCACTTGATCCTGGTATAATTTTAAATGTTAAAATTGCTTGACAAGTGAGAGTGGTTCAAGTGTATCACATTTCACACTTAAGATCCCTTCGTGGGAGATGTCTTGAGTTCAAATAATATACTCCGTATTCTTGATTGTTTGGAAATTGCAACCTAGTCGCTAGTGGTGGACTCGGGCCGGGTGGCAAGACCTGGAACCGGACCTGGCTCGGTACTGTTAGGCCCGGCCCGACCCGGTGGCCCGTCCAGGGACCGGTCCGGGTAGGCCCGGACCGGGGGGTTTTCCGGTGCGGGCTCGGGTCAGGAAAATAAGGAACCGGCCCGTTCGGACCATAATTTTTTTTTTTTTCAATTTTTTTTTTAATTCCCGGGTTGGGTATTTTGGGTCATTTGGGGTGGTTTGGGGGTTGGGGTTGAGGGGGGGGGGAGGGTTGGGGTTAAGTAGAAAAAAGAAGAAAAAAATAGAATTTGGCCCGAGGTCCGACTTGGACCCGGGGGTTACCCAGGCCAGTTCTGGGCCTACCTCCCAACTTCTAAAGCCCGACCGGGCCTAGGCCCGGCCCAGGTCCATCACTACTGGTCGCACATTGGGCCATCTTGAAATTGGTTTCCTTTGTCAATGAAAAGTATAAATAAGTGGGACACAAATGATATAGATCACACCAAAGTGAACTATACGGGTAATTTGCACTTATAACTACTCCTCAAGCTATTTTAAATATGTAGTTAAATTCTTTTGATGTGTATTTTTAAGAGCTTTGTTAAATGGAGTCATCTACAACAAGCTCTGAATCATAATACTCCGTAGTTGTTATTGGGAGTGAATGAATTCTTTTGTGTCAATCCTCCCTCACTTCGAAGATCCTGGGAGGTGTGTTATACAACAACTACAAACATCATATTCAGGGGCCATTTTAGGATTACGGGCGACTCAGGGGCACATGACACTGATCAACAAGCCCTTCTTGTCAAGATAATCTATTAGTACGAAATTGCTCCTTAATAATGTACGATAAAACGTTGAGGCTTAGTGGCAAACATAAACCACCGAAACATTAGGGAGTTGGGTACAGGTATTGATGTAGTTGATAAGTTCTTTGTGTTGTTGATGGTGTTTAGGTTTGCACTTCAATCAAACATTGAGGAGCCCCTTCTTTATGAAACATTTCCATGCCAAAAAGGGTCTCCTAGAGGTCAAACCATCAACTATCACCATCATCTCAAATTGGTCCGCTATATGCCAACCTCTACTCTTTAAGGTGACCCAACATCAACGTATTCCATGTGATCCTGAATTTGAGGAGAGCCTGCACTGAAGTACCCACCCTTATGTTTTTGGATCTTGGTTCACCATTTCCCTCTTTAAAATGATCTCTTTTTTTATGTACATTGAAAAGAAAAATTCGAATAAAAAATCAAAATCTAATAGTCTCTAATCCATTAGTATCCTCCCAGAGAAAAAGGTTAATCCAAGCAGGTGCATCTGACAACATAGTTAGCCTCTTGGGAGCTTGATGCGCTGCGTTTGCCAATCTGTTTGCACAAGCATTCCCCTCCCGAAAAGTGTGTTGTATTTGAAGAAATCTTTCTTCTGCGAGAAGCTTCTGGCAGTCCCGAATAAGCACTCCCATAGTATTAGTATGCTTTCCATCGCTTTGAGTCCCGAATAAGCACTCCCATATTAAGGCAGTCCCGAATAAGCACTACCATAATATGATCTCTTCTTTGCGACACAATGCTATATTTTGAGTCTACAAGGTCAACATTTTAGAGTATGTCCACCAAACAGCTAACCAGCGACAAAACTTTCATTAATGGTGTTAGCAAATTGGAAATAATTCAACAATGTGGATAATACGAATCCTAATGTGAGTAAATAGGCATTAGGAAATAGATCATAAAATTAGAGACCTACAAAGAAGAGCGAACATTTCTTTGTCTGAATCATTTTGATCTTCATTGTTCAACCTACCCAAGATCTTCAAAGGGCATAAATTCAGCCAAAACATCAGCGTACAAACTAAGCCCTATAGAGAGGGTGTTAAACCTTGGAACTAAATTAAAAAGGTAGTGAACTTTATTAATAATATTGTTCATTATTTTTCTGGAATGAACTTCACATTAATGAGATTTTAATGAGAGTAAAAAGAAATGACCTAAATAAATAAGACTAAAAGACATACAAATAGATCACGACTTTCGGTACGTGTCATAAATTGTATATTTATACTATCAATATCTGTCATAATGTATCATCAAGCTAAATTATCATCATCAATGTCATATTATGTTGACCGGTAGAACAAATGATTGTGTTCACGTGATAAGCATATTGACTCACTAAGAATTACATGTGAAAAAAATTCGCACCATTGAGGAAAATGTGGCCTTTCCACATTAATTAATGTGTATACAAGTATTTTACACATTGTACAAATGAATAACTATATATGAAATCATAATGATTTCACTGTGAAGTCATGGACTTGTGCACTTTCATTACTTTCATTATGATCATTTCTTTTTATATGAGATTATCAATAATTAATTCATTAAAACATGAGTGACCATCATGAAGTCGATCAACTACAATGGAATGATATAAATAAATTGTTCTTAATAGGATTAAACTTAAACATAAATGTATAAATCAAATTCAATATTTTTTTCATTTCTTAAACAAGACTAAACATTATCTTTCTACGCCTAATATAATTAATTAATATACATAACTACCCCTAGTTACGTTTCCTTGTATAACTGAGATTAGTTTGTGGCGGTGATTGGTGGTGGTGGCAAACCACGGCTTCTGGTGGTGGATTCTAGCGGCAGCAAATTTCTGGCGACCAGCTGCAGAGGCGACCAGCATTGGCAATATGTCATCAGCAAATTTCTGACGACAAGCAGCACTCGTGTAGTCGGCAGCAAGTGGTGAAAGCAGGTTTAGGGTATCTTGTCCAAATACACATGATTGCTCCTACTTGGAAAATTTAAAGAACTAAATTTCATTTTTTGCATTTGGCTCATGTTTAAAGGATTTCATAAACAAGTTGTACAAATTCCCAACGTAGAGAATGGTTTAAGCTAGGGGTGTAGTGGTGTACTGTGAACATTGCGGTTAGGTTTAACTGAATCGAATCGTATGAAATCGAACTAATCTGAACTAAACTCTATATGTAATTTGGTTTGAATTTGGTATTAAATCGAATGAAAACCAAAACAATCTCAAATAAAATCAAAGAGACTTAAAGTAATTCAACAAAACCTTTAAAAAATTTATATCCCAATAGCTCAGCAAAAAAAGGAGCGCGTTAAATTTGGAATATTGGAACACCAATATGATGCGGCCGGGGAGCAGACTCCGGTACCTATTTCCAATCCTCCAAATTCAATCGAAACGCCCTTTTTTCTACTACCAAATTATATACGCATTTTCCATCTCTCTCTTTCACTCTGTTTCTTGTTGAATTTACTTCGTCAAGAGCATGACTTTGCCATCTTCCTCTTACTAACTTTCTTTGATTCCACTCGTATGGTGTTATTTCTTCATCCCCTTCCAGATCCATAGCAGTGTGAGATTTTGAGAATCACACCACTGGACTGCCGGAAAATGAAAACGCCGGCGATGGAGCTAACGGGTTCTGAAAGGGCGCAGCAATGGAGGTCAGTGGACTCCATGTCCGATCGGCCTCTCAAGAAAATCAAAAGCTCTGCTTCTCCCCTCTGTTATTCTCCTCCGAATCTTTCTCCTCTGTTCGGATTTGAAGGAGGAATGCAGTCAATGGAGAATTTACGGCTGCTGAATTTGCATATGCTCTCTTCCTCATATCAGCAGGGTGGTCCTTACCCACCTCCGCCGCCGCCGCCGGCATATTTTTCCGGTGACCCGAACTCATTCCCGGAGCAACGCCAGAATCGACCTGGTACAAAAGTGTACAGGGGAGTGCGGCAGAGGCACTGGGGGAAATGGGTGGCGGAGATAAGGCTCCCGAAAAGCAGGGCGCGCATCTGGCTCGGGACCTTCACCACCGCCGAGGAAGCCGCCATGGCTTACGACCGG